CTATCCATTACAAATATGAGAAGGGTTGTAAAAAACCTAAAATTTTAGCAATCACTGAGATTTTACATTAAAATAATAAAGCAAACCAAACACAAAACACACTCAGTAACTTACCTCAAGCTTCAATTAAAGCTTTCAGCACTTCTTTTGGAGTCATTCTTTCCTCACAGGCAGCAGTGCCTGAACTGAAGGAGACGCACCCGTAACTCCTATAGAAGGATCAAGGCTTACAACTGAGAATAGCAGCTTTGTCTTCTMAGTTTCTCCTATTTTTATTGAAGAATTAAGTGTTTCAATTTAAGGCCTTTGGGGCCTGTGCATTATCTTTAAAAATTCTAACATAAGCCTTTAATTAATTCTAAACCAAACTGACACTGAAACACTGTGATCTTAAGAACTAAGCCATTCAAAAAACCAAATCAAACCAAGCAAAAATGAAAAACGGAAATCACGGGTATTAACAAAGTAGACTAACTTAGACTGATAAAATTTTACTAATAAAAATAGTGACTAGTTCTTGTGTTCTCAGTAATTTTTGACCAAAAAAAAAAACCAAACATGACTATGTAATTAATTATCTGTATGAGAAGCAAATATGAGGCTACAAAATGGCATTACAACCACTTTCCACGCAGGGAGTTTGACAGGAGCTTTAGAGACTCCCCAAGATGCTTGCATCCAGACAACCGTGATTTTCAGGTAAGCTTGTTCACTGCCAGCATTGCTCCTCGTTTGATGTAATTCCACAATGCTTTAAATCATAGGCTGTATTTACATTCAAGCCTTGAGTGAAAACTGTATCACTTGTTTAGAAAGAAAAATGTTTTTTTTCATCCTCTCTCCACTGGTTTGGAGAGATTAAAAATCTCCTTTACAAGGGTCAAGGTTATATTCACAGTTGAAAAGTAGGGAAAAAAAAACTGAGCTAATAATTAACCAGTAATCATTTAAACATGTTTCCCAATAAGCCGCTTCAAACTCACCTACTTCCAACTATATAAAAACTAGAACAAATTGTTTTATTACTGCAGAAAAAAGTCTGCTGTTCTCATTTAACCCTACACAAAAGAACAAAGAGATGCTTACTCTTGATAGACGTAAAAATTACCTTTTAAAATACTGCAGGGAAAAAAACACCATTAGTCTTTCCCAAGTACACTATGTAGTAATTTACCTAAATAGTACAGGTATAAACATAACATCATGGAATAACACTTGAAATACCTGAAACCATAAAATGTTTAGAGAAACRACACATGGAAACCAGAGCCATTTGGGAAGTAATTCAACAAATTTTCCTGAGGTTAAAACAGCTTTTGGAAAATGAAAAGAACAGAATCCAGGCTCAAGTCCAAGAGGTAAATGGAAAATCCATCTTTTCACATAACTTGTTCTGTAGTATATTTATGATTACCATTGTCTGAATTCATTTTTATTCAACTGTTGTCTTAAATCCATCTGAAAATAAAAGGCAGTGTTGACTACCATTGGAAAATTGCAAATAAAATGTTTAATTTCAGAAACTGAGTTCACCATTTATAAATACACTAAAACATAGTAAATGCAAAATTAGATTAGGCATAGGTAGAGTATTTTAACAAAGCTACAACTTTTCTAAAAGGTCATAGGCAAATGACTTGTTTCCCAAAAATGTTTTCAGTGAAAACTGAAATGAAAACATGAATCTTTCTAGAGTTAAACTAAGGAGAATATTCCTTTCAAATGAAAATGCTGGCTATTTTTTCCATCTTATTTGAAGTTTTAAGGGCTCTATATCCCGTTTGCCTGATGGACACCAACAGTTAAAAATCAACCCTACTACATAAWGTCCTAAGCAGTGCACCATATCCATAAGGCTATTACTGAAAACCAGAAGATTCAGTTCTGTACTAGGAGCTTTAAGACAGGCTGTTCTACACAATTGAAATTACATTAGGAGTAAGGGCTCAATTTTTACAATAGGGACCTTACAGTTTTGATGCACTAAAGATTAGAAAAGGCTTCAGAATGACATTAGAGTCTCTGTGGTAAGTTGCCTTTTTTGTACACGGCATTAAATAACAAGCATTAATTCACAAACTTTGAGAGAACTTCCAAAGACCTTTTATAAATACCCAGAATATTTCTGTAATTCATTTAAAATGTAAAACCTGAACAGGAGAACCCAGAATAGGAAGTTTTACTATGGATTGCTGTATAATTGACATTCCATATCATCTTAATTTTAAGATTTATTTTCTGATATTAAGTCAACAGTCTCCTGTAAACACATCTTCCTCAATAACTCTTCTTAATCCTTTAAGTACTTTAGGGCTTGCAGTTAAAAACACCATATGATAAAAAGACAGCTTGAACCCCATCTTTCATGTACAGCTTTCTTTTGACAACTACAAAATCTGTTTTCTTGCAATTAAAGCAATGTTCAACTAAAATACAGTACCTGGTTTATGGTTTTTTACATAATAATTGAATAAAAAACTACAGAATAGAACTGTTTACATCTTTTTTTTTGCCATTCTATTAAAACAAATGACTGAGCTTTTTTAAAGTTCATTTACAATTATGGATTAAAACCTACATAATTTTGTATAATTTGACGAGGCAGGCTATCTCTAGTGTGAACTTTTAAAAAACATATATACAATATCTGGCCTGAAGTACTATGAATAAGGCACATGTAGACATATTGAAAGCTGAAAAAAATGAACCTAAAATTTGGAATTATAGTCACTGATTAGATGTCATACATGGCCCCTACTGGAGCAATTTAAAAATCTGAGCTATAGATAGTTAATATCCAGTGAGCAACAACGGATTTAGTCTAGCAGTTTGTTCATTAGTTTCAATACTGGAAGTATATTAAAGGAAGATTCACTTTCAAAAAGATAAGCTTTTCAAAGTGTTCAATCATTAACCTTGACTGACTAAAGTTGTTGCTTTCATTGGATGTATTGAACAATCTCTCTGAAGGAACAATGCTTGGTGGACAACCCAAGAACCTGACAGCCAATTTTGACAGTACTGGCCAAGATGACTTCTTAAAGTTCCAGTAAGTTAGAGGATCACAGTTATGCTCAAGCACTTCTTCCTCCAAGTAAGAAAGCACCATTTCCTCTGGTAACTTTGCTCTCTCTTTCAGGTCTTTTGTTTTCTTCATGTCACCCATGAGCGACCAAAGATTATCTTCCCCATATGAATTTGTAGATGGTGAACCTATATCACATCCATTGGAAACAGGTTTATCATCATCTGAGGTAGAACTCATTATTTCCAGCTCCCTGATTAAGTCTTGTTTATATTGTTCAGCCTCCTCTTCTGTAAATAATGATGTTTTATACCGGGGATCCAGAAGTGTAGCAAAAATGTATCTTGGATCATGAAGTGTGGAGGACAATCTACTCACCATAGCTTCTTTCAAAGATTTCAGCATAGTRTCTATGCCCATAGTTTCCTCAAACAGCATTTCTATTTTTCTGTTAAGTATATGAATCATTGGAATCACTTGGCTTAGAGTAGACATGTGGGTACTCATCTCCCTACTCGCAGCTTCGAAAGGTTTGAGAGCGTGACACACCGACTGCATGACTTCCCACTGATCACAACTTATTAGCTCCCGAAAGCTGCACTCTATTGACATTTCATCAATTGCTCTTTTCTGTTCAATAAGACGTTCAAGCATATGAAATGATGTATTCCACTTGGATGGAACATCTTGTATTAACTGATGCTGAGGCAACTCATACTCTTTTTGTAATTCAGCTAACTTCTCTTTTGCTTTTGCTGACCGATGGACACGTTCACAGATCTTTCTTGCAATACTAAGCAAATTCTGAACCATTCTCTGGCTTTTAATAGCCTCATTTACAATTACATTAACAGTGTGACTAAAACATTGTACACTTGAATGATCACCTTCATTTAAAGTTTTCTCTATACTCTGATTATCAGTAACAGTAATCCCAATCTGAAGTCCAATGGAAGTAATCCATGTTTCCCACCAGTATTCTAACTGCTTTTGAATACTGATTCCATTGTAGTCGCAATCGATCTGCGATACATTTAATAGTGCTGAACAATGGTAATCCTCACACTGTGGTCGAAATGAAGACTCAAATGTTACCCAGTGAGCGGTCAGGGTTAGATATTCTCGTGTTTGGTTRCTCATCCATATTCCAGATGTAAAATGGATCACTCCACTTTCAGCTTCTTTAAGATGTGAAGTAATTATTTGTTTTACATTATCATACATATCTGGAATTGCTGTCCTAGAAAAGTAAGATGGGGAAGGTAAAGAATACTGAGGTTGCAAATATTCAAGCAGCCTGTTAAAGCCAATGTTGTCTACAAAAGAATATGGCTGAAGGTCAAGTGCAATCATTTCGGCTACAAGACTTGTGATTTTTTTGGCAACTGGGTGAGAGTCACAAAACTTGTCATTGGTTTCATCAAAATTTGAAGATCCTAGTAGTTCTGTGCGGAGTGGCATGTGATTATCCGTAGATGAGGATAATACTGTCTCTGGGACATCAGTTTTCAATACATTGTTATGAAACCGCTGCAAATGTCTTAGAAGGCAACTCGTGCCTAGGTTTGTTGGCTTTTTCCCCCTACTTATTATACGTCCACAGTGTGTACATATCACTTTTGTTGAATCTGCAGAACAAATTGAAAAGTGATTCCACAGTTTTGAGGTCTTCTTACTATTAACAGGAAATATAATTTGATTATCATGTGTAACCATTGTAGGCAAGTCAGTCAACTTTGAGGATGARCATTCTGCAGAAGCCAAAGTAGCATAAGGAGAATTTGCCAAACTCACATCAAGAAAGCTCTTTTGGTTTCCAATTACATCAGGATGGCGTCTGTATAGATGTCTCATTAAGCAGCTTGTGCCCACATCTCCTTTCTTACCACGACTTATCATACAACTGCAGTATCTGCATACTGCTTTTAGACTGTCTGCAGGTGAGAGTGAAAAGTGGTGCCAGACTTCTGACTTAAGTCTTTTCATAATCCTCTTATTTTGCTGAAACACAGCAGTAGGTTCAAATATTAGTGGACCTAATCCCTCACACTGTTTTTCAGGAGATGAAACAAAGGAGACTTCACCTATATCATCAGAAGATGACAGCATTGAGTCTTCTACTAGACCATCTCCAGAAGTGAGATTAGTATGGATTTCCTCTGAGATTCTGTCTGGAGAAGAGGAAACAGAAGTTGGCTCTTTCATTAGTTTTCCCGGAGAGGATGACATAGAATTCAGATCACTCTCTGATGGTAGTAAAGATGGCAAGAGAGTAGGAGGTGCGGTGTAGAGAGGTGGTATGCTGGTACCACCCCCATTCTCTTGCAGGACGATGGAACGATGGGCTCTCCACATGTGTCTTATTAAACAACTTGTTCCTAGGTCTTTTCCATTTTTTCCTCTACTGAATTCATTCATGCAGTGGATGCAAACAGCTTTAGAATTATCTAGAGGTGACAAATAAAAGTGTTTCCAGACTGCAGATCTCCTTCTAGAACCTGATGCACTCTTTGGAATTACAACTGTTTTTTCTGCTACATTCTCAACAGTGTCATCATACTGGTTGTTGGTTTGCTGCGGAGATGTACCAACCATAACTTCTTCTTTGCTGCACTTTTCAGAAACTGAGAGATCTGATATTTCTTCAGAAGAAACAATAGAAACAGATTCCTCAATCATACGATCTGGAGATGGCATTTTAGAAGCCATTTTCTTCACCAGTTTTATGGGGGATAACATAGAACTCAGATCTCCAACATCTGCAGACTGAGGTGGCAGCAGTAATGTAGACGATGAAAAGGAAGATATACCTGGCATAGTTCCATTTTCTTGAATTAGTACAGTGGGATGTGCTCTCCTCACATGTCTCATGAGACAACTTGTACTCAGATCCTTTTCATTTTTACCCCTGCTAAATTCTTTCATACAGTACATACATATTGCTTTAGTGCTATCTCTAGGAGATATAAAAAAATGGTTCCAAGCAGGTGACTTTTTTCTGGAGCTTATGTTTCTGCTAGAAAGGAGGCTTTGTGTCACAGCTTCCATTGCTACATCATACAGCGTATTACTATACTGAGAAAAAAGAGATCCATAATCGTCTTCATTTTCTGCAGACAAATATTTGCCAGGGTTGTTGCTAATGAAGCTTTTTTCTTTGTCTTCCTGTTCATCACTGCTGTCCACATGTTTGAAATCATCTTGTTCTGTCTTTATATCCGTTCTTTCTAGAGTACAGTTAATGCTGTCGTCTTCTTGCTCTACTTTCAAGTTATTGATTTTACCCAATACAAAATTATCATCCATTCCGGAGGAATCTGCTTTACTCATGTCCATGGATGATAAATTCTTGCCAAGACTTCATTTATTAATAAATATAGATAACTTAAAAGATCATTTAAAATTTGATTAAAATTATGTATCTTGGATACTGAATGTAAAAACAAAATGTATGCATGTGTTAAAATAATCTCTGGTTCATTAATTCTGTATCCATGTTGTGCATAAACAAATATAATTAGTCATGAAAATGCACTTAAAAATTATAGACTTAATTAATGGAATCCCATTTTTTCCCAGGATCAGAATATTTCACGTCATAGATCAATGTCCTCAAAGACAGCTACTACTAAATGTTTCATGTTGTAGATATAAAATGTTCCTAAAAAATGAATGTTCWGTTTTCTTGTTGAAGAAAGCCATTCTGTTCATCTTGATTGGGCAACTGAGATTCTTTTACACCATCTAGAAAAAAAAAATCAGAAGACAAAGTTGACTAACATATTAAAGAACTACAGTAAAGGTGAAATGAAAGCAGGCACTTAATATTCAGTTTTGTTTTTTTTTTCTCCTTTGAGATAAAAACAATTCAATGTACTATTAAAAAAAAAAGAAGGAAAAAAACCCAACCCTTACTCAAGAAATTAATTATGGGCAAATATGTGTCTACACACACAACTATGGTTCAACTTTGACAACATCTAGAATCCAAGCATCACTTGGGTATTTGGTTGTATGTACCTATGCCTCATCCTACATCATAATTCAACCACTGCACACACACACACATATCAATACACACATCTAAACCCATATACTACATAAATGTCTATATCTACCAATATATATGAAAACAAGCAAACATTTAATCATGTTAGTGCAGAAACACATACTTAAAACCAAATGTTACATCATACTCCTGGACATGTCAGTCCCTCATTACTAACAGCAGTCTTTAAAAAGTAAACAAGAAATCTCTGTAAGTGTTCAGCATTGCCACACTAATCACTCTTCCTCTGACCATAGTCGCATGTTTGTATTCGTGCCATTACACTCTCAGACAACAACGTGCTATAGAAACAAGTTACTTTTGGAGTTTCATGATTAAAAACTGAAATGTTTAATTTAGGACAACTGAGCTGTATAAATGCCGTACAAACAGAGGGGTCTTTCAAAAGCGTAACAATATCACTCAGAAGCAAAAACACACACCGTTGCATATGCTGGTGCCCAGTGCAGCACTGCCAGCTCAAGTTCCTCACGTACCCAAAGGTTACACTAGAAAGTTCATTTACAACARGACAGCTAATTTCAGTCATGAGTAAAGATTTTTCACCACCAATGCCAGTACAAAGAGTAGGTTTTTTAAGTTGCTTATAAAGTTGCGTACAGAAGGGCAATAGCAGGCTCAAGAACTGGAATCCCCCAGTAGTCCCTCACAAACACGCAGAGGCTGTCTGCATTTATCAGTTGCTTTTTTAATTTTCGCTACTATTATATTAGAATTCTAAATTTTGCCAAACCTGTTCTCATTTATTTTTTTGTGTCATCAATGCAGTTATTGGTGCCTTCAAATGAACATTTTGGCCACACTGGTGATGCTACACTAGGCATTGCAATTTTTGCAAACTGAATTTTATGTAACTCTTTCTCCACAGCTGAAGCAAAGACGCAAATTTAATTTGATGGTTTAAAAACTTCCCACAACTTTTATGTGTTACTAAAACACAAGAAGCATTGGAGGGATTCTCAGAGTGTCCTGCACAGGGCCAGGGTTTGGACTTGATCATCCTCCCAGGTCCCTTCCAACTCAGCATATTCTATTATTTCAGCAAAGGTGAAATTAGCCATAGCCACAAAACACATTGAAGAAGTCTATTATTCACATTGACATTTCCCCCCTGTATCAAGATATACATCATATTAGCTTTGTRACCTATTTAAACTAATTTTTCTATGAGTTCTGTTTAAAAGAGAAATTAGAAACACTTATTTTTTGCAGATTTCTGATTTATGGAAAGGCTATCATAGTGATAACTTCCATTCTTTTCCAGTGAAAGGGAAGAGGTAGGGGAAAGGAGGGGCAATCGTCTTACTTGCAGCTATTTTAAGAAAATGGGAGACGGAGCAGTCAGGACTTGGTAAGAGGTAAGGATCAATTCTGCTCCTCCTTCTGTGTTTTAGTATTTGTGCCTTTCATTCTCAGGGAAAAAAAAAAAAGATATTATACTAAAAAATGAGGGTTGAACATGAAGAACAATGAAGGGAAGGACTTGAAGCAAAAGGAAAACCTTAGGAATTCTAGAAGAAATTTACATTACACAGGACTTTCCACTGGCTTGAGAAATAACATCTGAGAACAATTCTGGCAGCCAGACTAAATTTACATGAGTCAGGATAAAACTGAATGAAACAGAAACTAATGATCACACACATACTGATGATGGGGAAGCAAGTGGATCTGGGACAAGAGAGAGAGAGAGTGTAACATAGTCAACTTTTTWAATAGCAATCAATCTAAGGATTTTTGTTTCATCTTTACTTTGATCTAATCTGTGAATTTGGAGCTTGCATTGCAAACAGGAAAAGCAAGAAAATATAATAAGCTGTTGTGACTTAAGATCACAGAATAGAAAGGCTCAYAAGCAAGTGACTTGATGCAGAGCTTACAGAACATAAATTATGCATGAAGTGCCAAGTTACAGTAAGGACATTACAGACTCCTAGCTAGATTCACAACAAATACACGAGTATTTCCACTGGTATCGGGTTCTGATGAAGCYGCGTGCATTTCCTTTGGCTCAAAATACTTAATCATGTCTTTATCCTGCAATTCCTGTAATTTCTTAACTATGCAAAACCAATTGTAGGTTTTAAACAGAAAAGCTCACAGGCTGCTTCAATTGTCTCTGTCCTGATAAGCAGTTACTGCTTAACACAGTGAACCTTAAGGTAGCTGTGATGGAAGATTTGAAAACCTGATAAATAAGACCAGCTGCAAACTCTATAACCACAGTTAACTAGATTGACATTCATTAACAACACATTGTCAGTGGTTAAGTTCTTAATCATTATCAGCCATTATCACTACATATTCAAACACTTAGGCCATAATCACTTTATCCTAAATTAGCTTTGAGTACACAACACCACTGAGCTGATGCCATGTAGTTAAAGACTGATGGCTGTGGCCCAGTCTTAGTTATTGAAGCTGAGGCACAGAGGTGAGGGAGCTATTTGGAAGCTGAAATCATGGTGGAAGACTTCTTTCTTCCCTGTTTCTCCTTCCTGTCACTGTGTGTTTTTAATAACCATAATCTCCTCCACCAAAACATGTAGGAAACAATCTCATCTGCTCCTGACCCTATTATCTCCATTTCTTTAGGATCAAAAATTGTTCTTGGTCCACCAGAAACCTTTCCTGCTTATTCTGTATCCTTGGTTTTTGACTGCAGTTTTTACAACTTGAGTTTTTGATTCATATATTTTTTATCCCTCTTTTGTTCAATTAAACCTAGGTCTCCATTTCCAGCTACGTTATTTCTATATTTATGCTTAGCTGTGAAAACGCCTCCATGCTGGTAACAGGGTTATGCTATTAGCACTGTTAGAAAGCATTTGCAGACTGTGGACAGTTACACAATTTTAGTATACTTATCATTTAGTGTAAGACAAGAAAACATTATTTATATCTTGCCCACTTTACGGCTGTTATATGTCTCTGGCTACATATTACATGTATTTCTTGGCATTGTTGCCACCTTCTAAAAATGAACAGAAACAGCCCATTGAGTTTAGAGACAATCACTTCTTGGGAAATCCCCGAAGTTGGATGCCCCTTAGAAAATTTTCAATGTATTTTTTTTTTCCATTTTCTTTCAAACAGCTAAGAATGATCTTTGTTTCTTTGAAAACTGGCTAAATAGCACAGCTCAGAAGGCTGCAATCAGCAGGGCAGTCTAGGCAGTCTAGTTAAGGAAATCAAAGTAGAACTAACCTGAAACACAGGAGGGTCCAAAAACCTTCTTTCTTTGACAGTGGCAGAGCACTGGAAGTGGCTGCCCAAGGAGGTTGTGGAACCTCCTTCGGAGATCTTCAAAACCCGACAGGACAAAGATCCTGTCCAACCTGCTCTAGCTAAGCCTGCTGTAGCAGGGGAGTTGGACTAGATGTCCTCAAGAGGTCCCTTCCAACCCCCATCATCCTCTGACTCTGTGGTAAGATGTTATATCACACTGTAAAATGAAGCCAAGCTCTTTCCCTTCAAACACCCTTGCGGGTTCAACCCAAATTTTCTTTAAAATACAGCCCCTAGAATGCTCAGGGTTAGAAACATTGATATGTTTCTCATCTCCTCTCATGCCAACTCTATGTAAGAGTCAGATAATCTTAGTAAGAAACAAAAAAAGGATGGAGCGTTTTAAAATTTTACAGTCACCTAGAACAAAGTATGAATTTGGTTATGACCACCTTTACATAGGTTATTCACCCCTGGACCCAAACTACTCAAAATTAAGGACTACTGCTACACAAACTGGATATTCAAGAAGAAAAATGTTTTCAAAGGYACAAAAGGCTACAGGCAGTCAGCTAAAAGTTACAGTGATTTTTGCTTTTGAAATCACAATGAAATAAAGACACCTTGGAACAAAAAAAATCTTCAAAGAAAATAAATGGAACTGAAATGCACTACTCTGGACTATTAGCTCCTGAGCAGCTGCAGTCAGTGGTTCACTGTGGTAAAGAAGCCTACAGAAACATTTTATAGGATTTTCCATTCCAAATGGGATTACTGAAAGCATACAGTGGTTGACAACAAGTGTGTGGAGAATGTCACTGATCCTGAGTACCACAGCAAACTGCCATGACCAGAAGAAATCACTGCTGAAGGAAGAAGGTAAAAAGTGAAACACTGGTGTCTTGGAATTGCAGACACATACAACAACACACAGAGAAATATGAAAAGTATGCAAGAACACTGAACCATAAGCAGATTATTTTTTGTAAAGCAGAGTGTGGCCTGTAAGCTTTAAACAATTTTAGATTTATAGTCAGGCAATAATTATGAACATGATTATATCACAGAATCTTGGTGCAAATAATGGTATAGAAAAAGTAATTTAAAACAAAAACTTTACATTATTATTGAAGAGCATGTAGTCTAAATACAAAGACTCACACCAGCAAAATGCAAGAGCATTTTTTCAAGAAAGATATGAAATGTGGAAACAGTGAAAGTAAAAGCATTTACCAGTTTGGAAAAAAAATCAAAAGTAGTAACAGATTTTGAGTGTTAAGATGTACATAAAAGCTCATTAAAAATAATTTCCACAAATGGATGTATGTTTTAAAATAGTGTTAATCTTGCTTACTTTTGGATATGTACCAGCATAATTAAAAATACCAAATAAAAAGAAAACCCCTAAGAGCAAGCAATACAAGCAATAAGAAATATATACTATAAG